GGCGAGGAGCATAACTTGAGGAATGCCACCGGCGAGGCCAGGAGGGTGGCCTTGGAAGGCCCTCCTCACGCGGGTGCACGGCAGGCACCTCTTCCCTACGCCCTCGCGGGCAACCCCATGTGCCATGGGTGCGTGGAGGCGAAAAAGGTGTTACTCCTTTCCCCAGCCTCAAATTGAGCTCTAAGCCTGCAAGAGTTTTTGAGGGGTTGATCAGGAACTGGATCCTACCCCATCCCAGGCAACTTCTGCCTGGGCAGGGGTTGCACCCTCCGCAGCTCCAGGAACGCCCAGCATCCTGATCAGAGACGGAGGTCCGTGTTCCAGAAACGGAAAGGCACTCTCTGTGTGCTTTGTCCTTCTCTGGAATCGTGTGTGACACACACACACACACACACACACACACACACAGAGCTTTTTTCTCACACACACATATAAATCATTATCATCATCATCATCATCATCATCATCTTAGAACTGTTGAGCTGGAGAGGACCCTATGGATCACCCCCCCCCACGTCCAGCCCCGTCGAGGAGACACCAAGGGGGAATCAAACTCCCAACCTCTGGCTCCACAGCTGGATGGTCAACGAGGGGAAAGCCAGAGGAGTCCTTCCGTGCGCTGCTGCCGACCCCCACATCCCCGAGCACGTCTCCAGTGGGACAATAGCTGAGCGCCAAAGGCGCCTCGCTCTGCGGGGATCCCGTTCTGAAGCTCGACTCTCGTCTGCCAGGCTCGGAGGACTGCCTGCCGGGCTCCTTGGACTGATCCTGCATCCTGCGCTTTCCCTCCGGGGCTGGCCCAGAAGCCTCAGGAGACCCAGGCAAAGCAGAAAGGGTCGGTCGCAAGGAGGCCACCCTCCTGTCCTGGGTGTAGGAAGAGGCAGGCCCTCCTTGCCCTGCCAAGGGAAAACCTGTCAGCCTTCCCACCTCGTTTCTCCATAACCCGAAAGGGAAGCACCCCTCTGCAAGAAACTTCACCCCATACAGTCACCGACAGCCGTTCCACAGCAGCATCAAAGTGGAAAGTCCACAATATTGCAGTGAAAAGGGAAGTCCTGCACAGACAGACAGCACCCGCAAGGACAGGGATGGGAACAGGGCCGCTAGTTTCACCAGCCGCTGGCTGGGCCCTTCGGCCCCCTGGGAGCCTTGCCCACCCCCGGCCGGGGAGAGGCTCCTGCCCGCCCAGGGTCCTCCCCCACCACACCCTGTGCAAGAGGGTGGCTGGGGGGTCACATCGGAGGGCCAGAGGGGGCACGTGTGGCCGTGAGCAGCTGGACAGGGGAAGAGGTTGCCATCCATCTGGGCACCGGGGAGGGTCACATCTGATGGCCAAGGGCCCCTCCTTCTGCTGGGGGCTGGCCCAGGCTGGTTCCTAGGAGGCACCAAAGTTCTTGAGGCTGGCCGGAGAAGAGTGCCAAAGGGAGAGGTGCCACGGCTTTCC